CAAGGACACAACGGCAGCGACAGACTGAGCGGGGTTCGAACCTGCAACCTTCCGATTGCAAGGCGAGCACTTAACTCCTGTGCCACCGTCATCCTTGAAGACGAAACAATAAACATCATCGGAAATAAACACAAGCTGCAATTCTTTCAAACACACGTAAAGACCACCACCCACATCAATAACCAGTAGTGCCAGTGGCGCTTCAAATGTTCATTTCAAACTTTCAGTAATTCAAGCACAGATCAATCAAACTTATTGATTTAAGCACAGATTAATGAAGACATTATTATTATTATTCCATTTCACGATTTATTAACTCATATGAGCTGAAAATAGTCACTTTATTCAGAGACATGAGGAATCCTGTAGATGTGATGAGGAAAGCTTAGGCCTTTAAACAGGAACAGTTTGTTGACAATATGTTATCATGTGTTCCAAGCTGCAGAGAGGCCCGGACTCCAGCTGATGGAATGGCAGGATCCGGAAGATTAAAGGCAACAAATGTAGACTCCTGTCTCCATATGACCAGATACGGAAGGGGTCAAACTGTACATGAAAACCTGACCATTTGTGGACGTTGCATCTTCATATAAGTGACCTTGGTCCCTGAGGTGTAGATGGACTGTCTTGATCTGATGCGTTAGCTCTTTTATGTTGTGCCTTCCTTATGTGTATCTGCTGTTCTCTTTCTTCGCTTTAGCAGTTCGTGCGTTCCTCGTTGCACCAGAATCCATGTACCACAACACTGAGTTTGTGTTTGGGTGTTTAGTCATTTAGGTGAACCAGTTTTAATCAGAGTGTTACCTGAGTTTAATGCACCAGAAAACCTTGTGGGGAAAAACAAAGCATGAATTGCAGTATTGACTCGTCTCCACAAGCAGTTTCCCTGAAACTCGCACCTTGAAACGTGACCAAAACTGTGCACATGCTGGCACCTGTTGAGATCGTCAGAACCAATGACACAAACACGGAACTGCTCTCAGTTGCCCAATCAGCATGTTTGTTTCTGATCTCAATTTATACACCTCCTAACTCCAACCCAACTTCTACAATTGAAGAACCTTCTTGGATGAGAGGGGGAATGTCTCAAGCCATCACCAGACAAATCCCATTGTTTTCATTTAAAATGATCAAGATTTCACAAAGATCTGAGCCCGGTGTCATGATCTGCCCCGGCCTCCCTGACTGTGTCGCTCCTGCCTTGATTAGTCCTATTGTTCTCACCTGCCCCTCGTTAATATGCCCATGTGTTCCTAATTATCCCTGTGTATTTATACCTCCCGTCTTGTACCTGTCTTTGTTGGATCATTGAATGTGCATGTCCTTGTTTCATCCTGTCGCTCCCGGTTACTATTAAAACCATTTTTATTTCATCCGTGCCTGCTCTCCTGCCTCCTGAACCCACCACCATACATGGTCCTACCATCTCCACCCTCACAACATGACAGAATGATCCAACCAACCTGGACCTGTGGTGAGCCCTGACATCTGTTTCTGGAGGATTATTCTTTCTTTGTTTCCCGTTCAGCGGAGGGAGATTTCGGCCTGGAGTTATTGGTTATTCGGCGCATCCTACCTGTCTCGGGGTGGTCGAGCCCTCTGGGAGATCCTGGCGCATCCTATTTTGTTTTCGGGGTGGTCAGGGTCATTCTCCTCCTGCTGTTTTCACCCCGTCCTGTTTTTCATGGAAGCTGCCGTTTTCTGGAGTTTTTTATGGAGGTAAAACCCCCTGCGCACGCCAGCGTTCTTCGGCGTGGCAGGGCTGGTCTTCTGCTCCTTGTCTGCTTCCCTTCACCTGAGCCTGCCTGTGGATCCAGTCGAGTCTTGGTGTGCACCTGCTCAGGACTGTTTGCCGAGTACCTGCTACCGCTCCTGGTTTCCTCGCGTCACTCCTGCTGTTCTTCCGCTTCCTGGTTCACGCCTGCGGGGTCTGTGCCTGTGGGTCCTTCATGCTGCAGTCTCTGCTGGGTCCCACTCCTGCTGCTGCAGTTTAGTGTTCCTGTTCCGGGTCTCAAGTGTTCCGGGTCTCAAGTGTTCCGGGTCTCAAGTCAAGTGTTCGAGTTCCTGGTCTCGGGTCTCAAGTCAAGTGTTTGAGTTCGTGTGTCCAAGTCTCAAGTCAAGTGTTTGAGTTCGTGTGTCCAAGTCTCAAGTCAAGTGTTTGAGTTCGTGTGTCCAAGTCTCAAATCAAGTGTTTGAGTTCGTGTGTCCAAGTCTCAAGTCAAGTGTTTGAGTTTGTGTGTCCAAGTCCGAGTTTCCTGGTCCAAGCTCAAAAGACCCTCGTCAGTCAGAGTTGTGCCACCTAACCGAGAGGCCCCTGCTCTATAACCCCGGTCTGAGCTCAAGGAGACTTTGTAAGTCGGAGTTGTGCCGCCTAAACGAGAGGCCCCTGCTCTGCAGCCCCGGACTGAGTTGCGTGTTTTTGTGTGTCCTGTCGAGTTCCGGAGTCCTGTGCCTGCTGCTGTCGAGGTCCGGTGTCCCGCGCCCGCTAAATTCAGTGACCAAGTTCCCATGTCCAGTCTTCCTGTCTCCCGAGTCATGTGTTCCCGAGTCAAGTGTTCGAGTCCGTCCCAACTTCAGAGTTCCTTTTCTGGTGTTCCCTAGTCTACTGTGTTATGTGGCCTTGTGGGCGTCTGGTATCCGCCCCTTAAGGGGGGGGGGGGGGGGGGGGTACTGTCACGATCTGCCCCGGCCTCCCTGACTGTGTCGCTCCTGCCTTGATTAGTCCTATTGTTCTCACCTGCCCCTCATTAATATGCCCATGTGTTCCTAATTATCCCTGTGTATTTATACCTCCCGTCTTGTACCTGTCTTTGTTGGATCATTGAATGTGCATGCCCTTGTTTCGTCCTGTCACTCCCGGTTACTATTAAAACCATTTTTATTTCATCCGTGCCTGCTCTCCTGCCTCCTGAACACACCACCACACATGGTCCTACCATCTCCACCCTCACAACATGACACCCGGTTGGAGATGACGCCACACTGTTGCTGCCGATTGGTCAAACAGGTTCTGGATTCTGTTGAGATTGCAGATTTTGGTTGTAATCAGTGGGGTTTTACCTACTGTAGCTTCTCCATCACCTAGAATCGGTTTACGTCCTTCTGACCTTTGACCTTGAGGCAGTTTCATCCACAAAGCTGCTGTTAACTGGGTAGTTTCCTTTCTGGACAATTTCCTGAACAATTGTGGGTCAAAATCCCCATCTTTCTTCTTTCTGATGCTGAGTTTGAACAACAATAAAGCTGCATGGTGGCGCAGTCGTTAGCACTGTTGCCTCACAGCAAGAAGGTTGCAGGTTCGATACTCGGCTGTGGCCTTTCTGCGTGGAGATGCATGTTCTCCCCATGCATGCGTGGGTTTCCTCCGGGCACTCCGGTTTCCCCTACAGATCACAACATGCCCTACAAGTTAAAAAGTGTATGTCGCTTTGGATAAAAGCGTCTGCCAAATAAATAAACATAAAGTTATCTTCATCCGGCCTGGACATGCAGCCCGTTCACTTTGGTTCATTGTAAAACTAAAGACTATTTAGGACCAGAGGATGACTGACAACTTGTGAGAGCTGGAGAATCCCAGAAAGACCTTTGCGCTCTAGGGCTGGTGGGTTTGCTCTGGGCCGTTGGCTCGTTTCCTCATATTTTGATATTTTTCCTCCGATTGGCTAACAGCAAGGTGGCTAACAGCAACGTGACTGTCACAGATTCCAGTTGCAACTTTGATGTTTTATCTCCACAAATAATGCAGGTCTGAATGACTTTCGCCGCGTTGTGGAGTTGCTGTTAACTTCTACCAGCAGAGACGTTCTCTGCCGTTTCCTGGACGCTAAACCAACCATAGCCTTCCTCATCACGAGTAAAGATGGGTGAGCCCATGAATGGTTAAGTGCCAGTGTGACGTAGATCTGTCAGGATTTTCAACTCCTAGTTTCCTATCAGAAGATAATGCGTGAAAAACTCAGCGACTGATTATAATCAGAAATTTTTTTTTTGCAACAAATGGTTTTTCAGGGAAGCCTTTAAAATGGTTTTACTCAAATAGCGAGAAATTCAAGTTTACGACCTTTGATTGCTACTGAGGGCCATTGAAAGACCCCCCCCCCCCACACACACACACACACACACACACACACACACTTCCTTTTTGTACATTTTAACCTTTTAGTGTAGCAGACAGTTTTATCTTTTTTTAAGGGATGTCTCGATACAACTTTTTCACTTCCAATACGATAAAGATAGTGAAGCCTTCAGTATTGACCGAAACCGATATCAATCTGATATATCAGCACAAATCATAATTTTACCCATTTTGTAGTGTGGAATGTATGAAAGGCTTGATTAAGTGATGTTACTCAATCGGAGAACAAAAGCCAATAAGGGTAAGTATGAAAAAAAAAACTTAAACCATTGGTTGCAAAAATGGGAACCTTAATGGACTTATATTGGAGATTTTTGATGCCATCCGATATAATCCGATACATTGTTTTTGAGCCGATATTGAATTACTTCCGATGTCGATATCGGAACGGGACATCCCAAATTTTTTTATGTTTCTTTTTTGACTCTTTACTTTTTGCCTTTTTTACATTTTTAATTTTAAAAATGCTTCAAAATTTTCAACATTTACAATTTAAATTCTCAGACATGGCCATCTTTACTCTAAAAAGTTGCTAAACTAAAGGATAACTGAGAGAAAAGCAGTGCAAGGTTTCTTTAATGTATGCATTATGTTGTCATTTGAGTTGACTATGGCCTGAAGACATTTTTGATCCAAAACAATGATCAGCTGGTGTGGAGTTACATAAATCCAGGTTTCCCAGATTTCTGCTGCCAGACTTCTGACTGTGTCAAACTGAGTTTCCACAAGCCTGACAAGCCTGTGCACCAAGCGTTGAGCATGTGGAACAAATGTGAGCTGTAGGGTTTCACAAAAACTGAAAATAAGACATCAATGATCCTATTGATAAGAATGGACAAAACTGCAAAGCACAAAATGAAACACATTTTGTAGAAAAGAACCAAAAACATTTATTTGTATGATAACCGTGTAGAAGCACGAACTTCATTCAAATAGGAACAGTAAAATTAATTAGACAAGAAAAATATACGTGTCTTTGCTTACATAGTATTTACACACATTGTAAAATAGGATAACAAAACCAGAATGTAGCGGTTAGCACATTATGACAGGCTATGACCTGCACCGTGACAAGACGTAGCATGAGATCTGTCTAGAAAAGGAGAACAGAATCGTCCAGCCTTCCGTTTTCACAAGAGTTTATGGCTTCAGTTTTATACAGACCAGAGTAAAGCTCATTGAAAAGACGGCAAAGTAAAAATAAAAAAAAATAAAAAGTCTGACACTGTAATCCCCCAAAAACAGCAAAACATGTTTTACTTTCTTCAGATGTTAGGTGCCATGCTTTTAAGACAAGGATGCTCAGGTAAAAATCCCAAGACAGGAATAATGTAGACAAGCATAATAACACACACACACACACACACACACACACACACACACACACTCACTCACTCACTCACTCACTCAGCCTCAAGACCAACCAGCCAGGTGGTCCAAGGTTTTAAACCCCAAAATAAACCAAAGCAGACTCCTACACTGACACGAGTGTCCTGTCACTAAATATATAAATATGTTGTTGATAGAGAGCCGAAATCAATCAGAACTCCTCTGCTTTGGGTCAAGGTCTCTTATAGTTACAGTGCAACAACACTATCACGAAAAAATCCCCCGCTGATCACTGGTGATCACAAACACACCCGTAAAGGTACGACTAGCATCATCATGAAAACACCACAGGCACATCCCGAGCATCAGAAACGGCTGTAAACACGAACAACACCAGGGTCCGGTGGGATCCAGCAACACGGTTTTACAGACTTTGACCCAGAGACTCAAACATCAGATGTTCGACACTTACACGAGACGCGCCACCGTTACAGTTTAAGGGTCTTTTCCACAATTTTACAACACAGCGCGATTCCAGATGCTGCTGTCCACAATTCTCTCTCACACTGTGTTATTACACTAAAGTGATGTCATGGTAGCAACATCTAAATAAAAAAGATATATTCAAAGAAGCACCCAAAAACTCAATTTGATGAGAATAGGAAACAGATTTGTCGCCACCTGCTGTCCAGATCTGATAACACAACCTGTGGTGTTTATATACATATCTATGGTGAACCCCACCTCCGCTGCTGCTGCTTGGTAATGTTAGCCAGTGAGAGTAAAGCTAGCATGCTGTAAACACTTCAGGTTCAGATGTCAGAGCTCCTGACATTTCAGCCCTTTTTTGGCAACGAGTGGTGGAATCTCATTAAAGGTTGAGCAGTAGAAATAAAAAAGGAAGATCTGTAGACATCCCCTATCAGCAGCTAGAGGGACAATGTGTGAGTGAGACTCTCCATTTCCACGCAGCATAGTTCAACACCACTTGGTCACGAATATACTTAAAGCAGAGGGTTTGTTTTTTTTAGTTATAAAAAGAAAATATTGACTGCTGCTTGAACCGTTATACAAAACATGATAAATGACTAATAATGCATCTCAGATGTGTAAAAGAAAAACAGAAAATGGTAGAAAAGCACATGGTTTCTGATGGACATTTCAAAAGTAAAGTGCAAATGCTCCATCTTGTGCTGTAATGTCCAACCAAAATCCCATAGTGTCCCCCTGCTGTGGACAGGGACAGTCTACTGAACCACACAGCCGAGTCCAGGGTTTTGGTGGGAAAACATCCATCTCAAAAAGGTGCAAACCACAATATAATGAATATAATAAAATATAATAAAAACATAATAAAAAATGAACATGTAACAGTAGGTTAAATGGGTCCATCTCCACAGCATGTGCTGTACCTTAAAAAAAAAAAACTTCTTCAGCATCTCCTTTTCACAACCGTTACTGTAAAATAACTCCTGGTGCACCGTCGAGGCTTTTGGCACAAAAGCTAAACAGTAAAAAAAAAAAAAAACTGGAGTCCTTTGGACATTCTTCATAAACAAACTCCCCACATGTGAAGGAGAACAGCAAAAGGAGATCTGCATCACGGCGTAGAACAAACATCTCCTATGGGAGTTAGTGAGAGATGTCCCACATATGCTAATATGTCGAGGCTACTCAAGAAAAGCTGCAGCGAAGGGTGTCCATAAATACTCTGAATGGATCTGAGGAGATGCGGTTGCCGTGGAGACTAGCTAAACTGTTGGGTTGTTTAAGGCTTTTTATTAGAGGACAGGCATTTCTCCTGTGGCAGAGAAGAAATAGAAAAATTAAACATGAAGCAGCGGTTTACAACCAAAAAGTTGAATGCGGGCGGGTCTGGTTACCTGGTTAGGACTCGCTCTCCATGGAGACTGTGATGGTTTCACTTTCAGCTGCAAAGGCAGACGCAGCATACAATAAGCAGAGCTGTGGGTGTTCATTCGGTCTGACAAAAGTCATCATCGCTGCTGGAGCTCACCTGATTTGATGTTGTCGTCAGCGAGGTAGTCCTCAACGTTGTTGGCCTGCTTCTCGTTGCTCAGAAGGCGGTTCTGAGACTCGCTCAGCGGGCTCACAGTGACGTCAGTCGCACTGAAACATGAAAATCAGTCGTGTTACAGTGATGTAAACAGAGAAGTGTGTATCTGCATCATCTTCATCATCAGTCACCTTTTACTGGGTTCAGGATACAGCGTCACCGGGGCCTGCTCTGGATCTATGTTGACTAGCCGAGTCGGGAACGTCATACCATCTCCCTGACTGGAGCGCACAAGACAGGAAACCAGAGACTAGACATGACCAAGCTGTACAACCTCTTTACGATATTTGCCCTTTTGTTACACAAAAAGCTAAATTGAACATTGAAGAAAACCCGCCAGCTTCACCAGACCTCTTCTACCTTAAAACAAAGTCATCTGGTTTACCTGGTGAAGACTGGGAGCAGCCAGTATTTCTTCTGGTCTCCAAAGACCTGAACGATGTTCTTCCGGAAGCCCAGAGAAAAGCCATTCTTATCTGAGCCTGTTCTGAAGACTGGGGCCCTGAATGCCTCTGCAGAGAGGACGCAACATGGAGACAGTTCAAACTTGGGCAAAAGGACGCTTCACTGACCAGTACCATGGTATTTAACCAGCTGCTTGAAGGTAAAAATGACCAACATTGACTACTATTCACACATTTGTAGACTCCATCTCAAATCTTGTTCAAAGCACAACTGCCAACCTGTTACATTTCATGACGGGATTGCTTTCTTCCTTTGTATTTAGAAGGACAAGTGACCAATGGCTTCTGGCTGAATCTCAGTGCTGCCCTTGATACCACAGAGCAGAAAAATCTACCTTAAAGCAGGAATCACTGGCTTTGCACTGGATTGGTACCACCTCTTTTAACCTGTGGGGTTCCACAGGGTTCTGCCTAAGGTCCACTTTAGTTTACATTCTTTTATTGCAAAGATTATTCAGTCCTTGTCTGATACGATATCAGGTTCACATAACTTTGTTAAGCCCGGTGTTTAACCCAAATGGGTGACTCAAATCTTAAACATCAGGAGGAAAGAGTATTATCATAGCTCTCCCTCAAATTTCACACAAGAATCAACCACGACCTCACCTCCTTTAGTTTCAAAGCCAAGCCTAGAGTTTGAAATCTGGGTGTAATATTAGTTTTCTTACTGATTCTTGCTCCTTAAACCACCAAATAGTTCCTGGGTGTGGCCGTGTCTGCTGCTCACCGCTCCCCACGGGGACGGGTCAAACACGGAGGACAATTTTCACCACACCAGTGTGTGTGACAACTATAGAACTTTAAACTCCTCCTTTTTGGCAATAGTACGAGCCCTTAGCTTATTGTTTTTTTAACGGGCAATACTGTTTTTCATCCTTAAGAATTAATCTCACAAATTGAACATGAAAGAATACCTGCCAGCTTTATCAGACCTCCTCTGCATTAAAAACAACCTTCCACATCAAATCAGCATCTTTTCGTAACACGTTCTATGTACATCTACATGCTATGCATCATCAGAAAAGTCTTGACTTCAATCCCAAATGGCGATCAAGGATACAACTAGAACTGTGGACAAACTGTGGTAAATGTATTCTAAATAATGTCTAACTCTCCGTTTGAAGACTTACATCATCGATAGAGAAGAGCCCTCTCCAAGAAAAAACTTACTCCAATAAAATTGTTTGTCCACAAGTCTTGTGTTCTTATGCTGGTTTAAATAAGGTCTAGTTGTTTCCATGGTTCCAAAATTTTTTATCCTTGCCCGTAGGACGGGGCAATAAATCAGAAATTTATCGTTATCGAAATTTCTGACTCTTATCGTGATCATTTTTCCCATGGCAATAAATTTGATAATAAAAAAAAATCAAAAGATCTGTGTAGGTTAGCAACGTTCATGTCCCTTTAAGAAGCTGTATCACCTTGAGTCACGTAAAAATGTGACTCAACGTAATTAATGCGACAGCCCCATCTAGTGGACAACTTTTGTTTCTGCGCACACCTGTAGTTATCGTCCATTTATCGTTATCGAGGTGAAATCCTCAATATATGGTGATATTGATTTTAGGCAATATCGCCCAGCCCTACTTGCCCGTGTCCAAGACGAGCCAGGACCCCAACTCTAACACCCATACACATGAACTCATTCACTGCCACTGATGAGAAAAGTCGTCATTTTAAATCCAACCTTTCACTGCCAATGACTAAAGTCATCATTTGCATTTTTTTACGTTGGAATGAGCCCCCGCAACGTGAGAACAAACATCCCAGCTCTAAAGCCGATCTTCATTCACGTACATAACACGTCACCAGTGGCGTGTCCAGATCTTTTAAAATGGGGTGGCCCAGGTGAGGCACTACTTTGTGCATGGGTGGCACCAATGGTTATGCTTTTTTGTTTTACTCCAAGCCTTTTGTGGACAATGAAATGCCTTTTTAAAGGGAATCCAGTGTGGTGACACACGGGGTGGCCATTCAGATTCCAAGGGTGGCATGTGCTACCCCAGGCCGCTCCCTGGACATGCCCTTGCATGTCACGTGATCAGGAAGCAGAAAATCCATGTGTTAGAAGATCGTTTTGGGCCGCTGCCGTAAAAAAGTGAGGTGCGAACCGGTAAAGCTTCCACCAATCACAATTCAACAACGGATTATGAAAGAACGGATAACGCTCGAAACGCGCAGATTCTTCCTGATGTACGAGGTGAGTCTCCGCTTTGTTTTGATTGTTTTGGCGTCTAGCGCGCAACGTTCCGCGACTCTTAAAAAACAGTAAAAACACTGAAAAACGCTGGCAGCGAAGGGCTTTTCTGATCGGGAAATGGCTGGCAGTGAATGAGTTAAATGTGATAAAATTAAAACATTATGTAGATTACGGCCTGCTACATAACAGAATTTCCAGCTAAAACAGCCAAACTTGTGTCACTTTTAACAATAAAAAATATGTTGACTTCAAGAGACTCAGTGTGTGTGTGTGTTTGTTACCTATAGTGGACCTGTTCTTCCCAACAAGCCACAGATGGTAGCTGAAGAGGGACAAAATACTGATGCAGAACATAGCCGCCACAAAAAATAGAAACAGGACGTGGAATTTGGCTCGAGTGTCTTCTAGCTCATTCTGGGAAACAGAGGAGAGGAGAGAGAGAGAAACTAGAATAAACACCAAATTCACTTCAAGATTTTCTGGAAAAAAAATCTGATTAAAAGGAACAGAGTGAGAGAAGAGTGCAAACCAGATTACTTCATGCACGTTGTATTGACACAACAACGCTACATGCTTCGGAGGAAGGCTCGGTTACCTTTGGACAGTTCTCTGCCGATTTCCTCCGACAAAGCTTTAGTACAAACGAAAACAAACTGGTTAGCAAAGCCAGGAGAGAACAGCCGGAAAAGGAGGAAAGGGTAAATTACAAAGTTTACGTGAGGCTAAATTTAGTAGAACGGGAAAAAGGTGTTATAAAGATGTTTCAAACTGTGCCAGTAAAGGAAAGAATAAAGAGGAAGAGATGAGAGGAAATCCGAGTGGAGCTACTGCTGTTTAAAGCCTCCTGGGTTCTTAGAGTCAGAGAAAAGAGGGATCAGAGAAGAATGACGACTCCGGTCAAGAGGTCAGAGTGTGACGAGGGGGCAGCACAGAAAGTTCGCACATCCTGGCTCCGCATCTGCAAACAAGTGAAGTGTGTCTCTGCTTCATTTACTCACCGTCCAGAACTTTATGAAGTACTGCAGAACCGTGGCCGCGATGAACAAACAGTACACCAGTGAGTAGGCCAGGAAAAGGATGAAGAACTTGTAGTTGGAGAAGCCAACACAGTTGTTCACCCTGCAGGCGCACAGAGATTGAATTTGCATCATAAGTCAATAAAAGTTTAAATAAAAGTCTCTGAAGCATTTTAAAATGCCCGATGCAGGAGAAACAAGGCTTCAGAACAAGATTAGTGCGGGTTATTAACACCATTAGGGATGTAAGAAAATATCGATATGGCAATATATCGTGATATTTTCCCCAGCAATATTATATCGATATTCAAAAGCCGTGTATCAGAAATATCGATATGGCAATATATCGTGATATTTTTTCCTGCGATTATTACATCGATATTCAAAAGCCGTGTATCTAATTCCTGAAAGAATTTACATGCAAACATTTGTGTATTTTCTTTTCGTTTTGCGCAATTCAATCGCCACCCGCTAGTTAGCAGCAGTGTGCAGCGGGTTTTGTTTCCACCACTGAAATGTAAATCCCTCCATCATGGTTCAGATACCTCATGATAAACATGTTACGTATCAGTTTGGACTGTTTATTGAACATTCTTACAATAAGTTCAGTAAAAAAATTGCTTGTAACGTCTGACTGAATGTATCGCAATATATTGTGATATATCGTATAATTTCCCGTGTATCGTGATATGTATCGTATCGCCAGAATTTCAAAAATACACATCCCTAAACACCATGGTGGTCAAGTGAAGTATTTTAACATTCAACGGTAAAGAAAACAAAAACCCGAGACTACAGTTTAAAAGTTAATAAGATTGTAAATAAAAAGCCCAAAAAAGTTTCTCTAGACTTGGTGACACATCTTCAAGATAGAAGTGTGTGTTGGCAAGAATCTGGCGATACCATCCATCGTAATACAAAACGTCAGACGATACTTTCACATTTTCAAACTTAATTTAATTGTTAAACTCAGGCCAAATGCTTCCAAAACCCATCCAGTGCCATTGCCAGATCTCGATGTGTCGTCAGAATGAAGGCGGTAAAATCTGCTGCCACCTAGCAGTCGGAGGTTTAATTGCACCGCACAAAAGAAATGCAGATGTTTGCGCCTCAATTCCCAATAAAACTCTGCTTTTAAATATTGACTCAATATAATAACCCAAAATATTGTGACATTTCATTGTAATGCTGTTTTCGTACATCCCTACATGATATGATGTGAAAATGTACAAAAATCATCACCCTGAATAAAGCATGAACAGCAGTAAGAAGTGACTTTTTTACCAGGGACAGTGGTGGTCCATCTTCAGCACACACCTGAAAAAGCAAAGATTAGAAACGTATTACTATAAAATATAACAGTAAAGTTAAATATCCTGGATGAATCATGAAGAATCTGCGGAGTTAAAATAAAAATAATGTTTTACATGTCACACGCAGAGCAGTGATGACACCGGTCGGGCTTGATGACCTGACAGCGGTCACAGTATCTGACTGCTGCAACATGGGAACAAAAACAATATTATGACGGTCATACGAATTAATTTAAATGACAATCGGTGCCACGATCGTACCTCCAGTTCCTGTGCGGGTGTACAGAGGCAGGTTGGTAGCAGCTCTCCATAGAATCTCCTGCTGGAACTCAGGCTTTTCTTCCTTCTCATAACGCTCCTTCTCAGCCTTCGGCAGGCAAAACTAAAGCAAAACACATTATCACAGCTTTGCTAAGAGGCTGATTTTATTTCTGATCGGCAGTTCGGAACATTATTCCAGAGTTATACCTCACTGGATGGGTTGGCAGGCTTACTGAAGATGGTCTTCACATAAGACCACACAAACATGCCGAAGGAGAGGTGGAAGAAGACCAGGTAGATGACTGGAAAAGGGGGCAGCAGGATACGAACATTATAAACAATCTAGCATGGATGAATACAAGCTGACATGAGGAAATGCTGCTGTTTAGGCAGAGGAAGAAACGGGACATCAAAGTGATTAATGAGACGGGAAAATCAAATAAGTAAAGCTGACTGAGGAGACAGCAACTGTTCCTGAGCCAGTTTTCAACGCCAAATCTACAAAATGCTTTTCTACACACTATAACGAGATTAAAGCAGCAAAAAGAGCTCAGCTCAGTAAACTTCTATACAAAGTAGATTAAATAATGATTGTTTTGGATACGGGCTGCGCAGTGGTTAGAGCTGTTGCCTTGCAGTGAGAAGGTCCTGGGTTCGCTTCCCGGCCTGGGATCTTTCTGCATGGAGTTTGCATGTTCTCCCTGTGCATGCGTGGGTTTTCTCCGGGTACTCCGGCTTCCTCAAACAGTCCAGAAACATGACTGTTAGGTTGACTGGTCTGTCCAGATTGTCCCTTAGGTGTGAGTGTGTGTGTTTGACCTGTGTGTCTGTGTTGCCCTGCGATGGACTGGCTCTTTGTCCAGGGTGTACCCCGCCTGATCGCCCATTGGCCGCTGGAGATAGGCACCAGCAGCCCCCCCCCCCCCCCCCCCCCCCCCCCCCCCCCCGCGACCCTACATGGACAAGTGGGATCAGACAATGGATGGATGGATGTTTTGGACACTTACTCTTCTCTCCTATACTTCTAATGGTTACTGCAAGAGATCAAAAAGAAATATAAACATCAGTGTTGAAGTTATTATCAAAACTTATTCCAGAAATAGAAACATTTTGTCTATTTGCATGATACATTTAGCCCAAATTGTCAGATTTGACCAAAATGTCAACCCGAAAAGAAACATAACATGATAGGATGATTAGAATTTATTTCAATATACATTTAAGTTCAAATTATTTTAAATTTCCTTTCAAGAAAGCAAAGTGTTTATGTCCATCTCCAATGCCATGAATAAAAGTAATGTCTTAAAGCTAATTTAATCAAATGTTCTAATACAAAAACCAAGAGAGTGACATTAGATTTCTTCTGCTGAGAAAATACATAAAAATGCTGGAAACTCTGATTAAGCAGCTAAAAAACATTTAAAAATAAACACATTTTAGTAGAAATGAGGACAAAAGAAATCACAATTTGCATTTACAGATACACCCTTTACAAACAGTCTGAGGGGTGGGGATTATGTTGTTCCATCTCAGACCCTAGTAGCTTATTTTCATGAATTCATGATATTTTTTTACATCCATTTTATTTCTTCTCTTTAATTTTACCTAGTTTGTGACACGATATAACAGTTTTATCAAAATAAAATAGATAAAGTCTAATAAGTGATGTTATTTAAAAAGAACTATACTATAAACTAAGATGCATTTTAAAAACATCTTTTTAATAGTTGTGTGGAAAAACAAGCTCAGGTGTAGAAACAGAACAGTTCTGACTGGACAAATAAATAATGGCTACTCAGAGTGGAGTCAAGTGTTTCTGCTGGCTTAATGCACATCTAATCTCAAAAAACTTAGAGCAAGTCATGAAAATTTATTTTCTAAACATTTAGACCACCTTAAATTTCACGACGTGTTTGTTTACATTTCTGAAGTTATTAGCTGACATTAGATGTCAATTATTAACACTTTCTAAAATAGCTATTCCCAAAAAACACGAGTTTTTACATTTGTCATGGTACTGGTTATAAAAGAGCATTGTAAAAATTTTACCACTTAAATAATGGTGTATACTGTCGAAAACAAAAGAGAACACACTACAATTAACACACGTAAACAGTACAAAAACATAATTACAAAAAAAAATAAAAATCAGATCAGAAAATAACCAAAGGAACATCTACATCCTTTAATTTTTCATATTTCTACATAAAAACACAATTATTCATTTTGATTATAGATGGATGCATTTACAGCCTAATCAATAAAAAATATAACAGAAGTGCCACATTACACAAATATTGCATATACCGGTATTGTCCATCTGTTTAGTCACAATAACATAAAAAAACAGTAAGACTGTCATTTTCTCCTGACAATGATTGAATACATAAAAGTCGCAACAGGAGGTCTAAGAACCAGAGGTGACAAGACTATGGTGGTTCCATTCAGAGTAACATCGCTCATTTCTGTGCTCAGATTGGTTTTATTAGCGGTTTTTTCCCCATTTTCCCTTCAGACTCGACACAAACTAGACGCGCAGCTATTTGAGCCGCAGCGTCAACATTTTCTTTAAACACAATTCTCCCCGACACTAAGGCAAAGTGAACATTTGTCAGCAGGCTGATTATAAACAGGTGTCTATTGATTTAGAAACGATTTCCAACACCGCTGTTGAGCAGAAGTCCATCACTTCCTGATGGCACGAGCTGCTGGTTTGTGAGGACGGGCAACAAAAACATGTCCGTTTAACGCCATTAAAGCGAGGGAGACGGTGGCAGCTCATCTACTTACATATACAAAGCTCCACCACGTAGGCGTAATAAGACCAGCAGACGACCAGGGAGATAAATATCACAGGTATCCACGCCAAACCTCGTTGACAGCATCTCAATACGTGTGTGGGCGCCATCTTTCTTCCTCTACTGGCAGAGCGAACAGGGTGTGTCGAAGCGATGTGGTACGTCATTGAGCGTCACGTGACAAGAGACGCTCACAACGACTAAATACAAATAATAAGGATTTATTTTTCTTTATCTTTTTACTGATTATATATTTACGGATTGTTGAGTATTTACAACACGACTATATTAACTGATTAATTATTCATTTACTATTTTATTTTTGTTTTGTTACACAAAAAGTGTGATAAAGCTGGGCTGCCGCCTTACCGCTAAGTTGTCTGAGGCTTTATGCCTCTGGTAGGGTCACCCATGGCAAACAGGTCCTAGGTGAGGGATCAGACAATGTGCAGCCCATAGACCCCTTATGAGGAAAAACATAAATGGAAACCGTGTTCCCTCTGGACGCAGGGGGCCCAGGGGAGCACCCCCTTCCCCGCTGTTACAAATTAACAAAAAGTTAAAACGCACTAAAATGCTAGCCTTGAAATAACATCTTAACCAAAAGTGTGCCCACCTCTCTTTTCCAAAAGAATCCTAACCTTACAATGTGTAATGTAATTTGGAGGGTTCAATTATGACCAATAAGATGTGATGATTCTATAAATATAGAATATCAACCTGATTGATCTTTGTTTAACCAGAAGAATTTAGGATTCTTTGCTTATTCAGGGACCATAAACACACTTCGTATTAATTTAGACAGAGTTAAGTATATAATTAAAAATAAACTTTATTTTCTAGACTAATTATAATACATGACAAGCTATGAATAACGATGTGTGATGGAATGCAATGGGAGATGATGGTGTGAAGTAGATGTATATCAGAACCTTTGAATTTGAAAGAGATTGTGAATTCTGGGTGTAAAAGAATTTGGTCTGCTACAAACTAGAGAGTTGATTATTAATAAAAAAGCATCAGACTTATGAGTTGCTCCCATTGACATAAATACTATTTACATCTACATATATATATATATATATATATATATATATATATATATATATATATACATATATATATCAGGAATGTGTATTTTTGAAATTCTGGTGATACGATACATATCACGATACATGGGAGACGATACAATATATCACGATATATTGCGATACATTCAGTCAGACGTTACAAGCAATTTTTTGCTGAATTTATTGTAAGAATGTTCAATAAACAGTCAAATCTGATACGTAACATGTTTAACATGAGGTATCTGAACTGTGATGGAGGGATTTACATTTCAATGGTGGAAACAAAACCTGTCGCACACTGCTGCCACAGCGGGTGGCGATTGAATTGCACAAAACGAAAAGAAAATACACAAATGTTTGCATGTAAATTCTTTCAAGAATTAGCTACACGGCTTTTGAATATCAATGTTATAATCACAGGAAAAAATATCACGATATATTGCCATATCGATATTTCCGATACACAGCTTTTGAATATCGATATAATATTGCTGGAAAAAATATCACGATATATTGCCATATCGATATTTTCTTGCATCCCTAATATATATATATATATATATATATATATATATATATATATATATATATATATATATATATATATATATATATATATATATATATATATCGACAGGAGCAACTTGGCGGTCTGGAGGTTTGCGGTCAGAGTGGTGAGGTCACCGGATGTCGAGACCACGATCCTCAGAGATTAGTAGCTTCCTCTGAGTTCAGCTTCATATACAACTCGAGGTGGTCTGCAGATTAGGTGTGAAGTAGCTCTGAAAAGAGCTGTTGTGTCTGTAACAGGGGTGTCAAACTCAAATTCACACGGGGCCGAAATGAAACTCTGGGATGAAGTTGCGGGCCAAACTTAATATTTTTTGAAAAAGTGACGGCAAATTTGCACATTTTCTTTATCAACATATATGCAATTTTGAACCTTTTTAATTTGGAAACAAACTTATTTTTGCATTAACACTGAATGTGGAATAATCAAATTACACCCAAGCAAGTCAATTTTAAATAAAACGCATCAGTGGTATTCATTACTTGTGGTATATTCAGCATTTTTAAAATCTATTCAGGATTTGTGTTTTCTTGTTGTTTATTTGTTCTTCTTATTTTTTATGCTCTTCTTTTCTCCTGTAATAAGTGTCATCGCTGCTATCTAACTTTCCCCACTGAGGAACAATAAAGGGATTTTCTATTAAATTCATCTATCTGCAGCCTTTCCAGTTCCTGTTTACTGTAGGTTAAATCTTTTCTCACAGGCCAACAACAAAATAAAAATATAATTTTATCTTAAATGAAAATGCAACATATCACCTGTTAACTTTCATGTTTTGGAGCAGAAAAAGAGCATGTTTAAAGCTCAGTTTGCTCCACTGATTTACTGTGATGCTCACCTGTTCCAGCCAGATACCTGCATCATGGGGTTGATCTGAGCTGAGGAGGAGACTCCTGTTGTTTTGTTTATCTTCATCATGATAATGACACCATTAGATGACAACAGGTGCTCACAGGCTTGTGCTGATAAACATGTCTGAGCAGCTTGACCACGTTGTTGTGTGTCGGGGAGGAAAAATAAAAACTACAACAGCCACAGGGTCATGCTGATTTGAGCGTGTCGCTGCTCCCTGGAGCAGCTCTGTCTGGAAGTTGGAAAAATTTCTCTTTCAGTAGTGAACACATTACTGAGCGGTTAAAATCTCAGTTTCTGGGCTTCAATGTCAGAAAATAGCTGAGAAAACTCGTCGCTGAGTGAGAGGAGTGTTTAGTTTGTCTGAGACAGCGGAGCTGCAGACACAGACAGCAGACTCTGGAAAAAAACCATCGACATATAAATATTGGACAATGGGTTTCCATAGACTCCAATGACACGTTTTTGAGGCTAAATGGGAGGTGGCCACCACCGCCATTTTGACCGTGTCACAGGTTCCGTCAAGCCCAGACAATTCCACAAAAGGGAAGAGAGGTGGAGCTGAGGGTGGGGCTGTAAGGCTGGGATCAACTGACGACACCCGGTCGAACTAGCTACAAGCTAACCTGAAGCTAACCCGAAGCTAACATGGAGATGGGAGCTAAGCTAACGGAGGTAGCAACCTAGCTACAACCTGAGTTAACTGTGCACAACACCAGAGGTTCTGAGTCAGAGATACGCTGGGCTGACAGCTGGGTAAAACCAGGTGGAACACAGACGTCTCCCGAAAGCTGCTGAAAGCCGGCAGCCTGCACAGCAGACAGAAGCCGTGATCATACAGAGATGGGCCGAGCGGCGGGGAGGGGAGAACGGGTGGAAAACGTCAGTTTCCATCCAGAGCTTCACAAGCTGGCAGCCCGCGCAGCAGACAGAAGTCGCGATCAGACAGAGATGCGCCGAGCTGCGGGGAGGGGAGAACCAGGTCGAAAACAGAGGTCTCCCGAGAGCTCCACAAGCTAGTGATGTGTCGGTCGTGAATGAACCGGCTCTAAGAGCCGGCTCTTTGAAGTGAACGACGGGAGCCGGCTCGTCATTGGGAGCCGTCCCCTCCCCCCTCCCCCTCTTGCTTTGGTGAAAGCTACAGGTCAACATGCGTAACTGCGTGTCCAGACTGTCCACACAGAGAGCAGTAGGGGCGAGGAAGAGGGAGGATCAGACTCAGACTCACAGCAGAGCACATGCGGGCGGAGGGAGACGAGAGGGAATGAGGAGGAGGAAAAAGGCGAGCGAGAGAGAGGAGAGTGCGACGAAGACGGTGAGAAAATGAGCGCCAGCAGTCGGAAAGTGGAGATTTCTTAAAGTGTTCAGTTATTAAATCCATAGAAATGATAAGTATTTTATATATTGCTTTTTTTACATTAGTAAATTATTTTACATATAGTTTAGCATTATTTTGGTTATAAATGTACTCTACGCAACAGAAAATCTGAGGAGCCACTTGGGAGCCGAAAGAGCCGGCTCTTTTTGGTGAGCTGAGCCAAAAGAACCGGCTCTCTAAAAAGAGCCGGAATTCCCATCACTACCACAAGCCGATAGTCGGAACCCAGCTCCACCAACATGTTATATTTCATCCTATTTTCTAGAGTGCAGCATTGTGTTAAATGCATTGGGTTTTACCCTATTACATTTAAATTTCATGGTTAAACAGTACATGTTCAAATCTAAGCTCAGCTCGGCAGTGACCTAAAATACATAAATATAACATTACTTACCGAAAAAAATGAAGTGGAGACTCCTTGGACGCTCTATTAGTGCAATTAATGCCACAGCAAGTCATTTTGTCCAACAATTGCACAAAAAATATCCAAAAACGAATACACACACACAGAGACTCAAAATCCCGGAGCAGTTTCTAAGCCAGGCCAAGGCTCTACTGAGGCCTTTCCCTGTGGTCACGTGGGTCTGATGCTCATTAATTATACAGAATTTTAGGCTTTTAATACACTTAAACAGAAGAGTGAGAAAAAAATTCACCCCCCTCAGAGTTGTCATGAGTGTAAACTAGATAATTTAAACAAAAAACATGTTCTGGTACCAGGCTGTAAACATGTTTATTTCTGCTGTGAAATTGTTATTTTTAACATGGGAGTCGATGAGGATTTGCTCGCTTCTGACACCAGCCCCCAGCGGATGAGGGTGGAACTGCAATTTTTGGTACTTCTGGGTTGGCCTCAATTTTCGAGCCGCATTGTGGGGGCTTGGAAAAACACAAAAGAGTGGGCGCTTCGGCTCCGCGCGGACGCTGCAAAGCTTCATGGGAGTTGAAGTCTTTGCGGTAAAATCGGCCAGCGGATCAGTTTTAATATAGTTTTGATATTTATCTCGTGGGCCACATAAAAATGCTCCGCAGGCCACATCTGTATGAGCACTGCAGAGGCCTGGACTTTAGGAGACAGGAGAGAAAATCGACCCAGATTGTGGATTTGTTCTTGCAGACTATGTTGGTCAAACGTATTGATGAAACTGACCACTTCTGGATGCTACAAATGTCAAAGAAAGTCCTGATTTTATTACAATAAATGTATGCATTTATTCATGGATAAATGTCATAGATATTATTTGTAATAGTGCACCATTGGGAGCTACGCAGTGGTTAGCACTGTTAGCTTACAGCAAGAAGGTCCCAGACACAAATCCCAGCCTGGGGTCTATGGAGTTTGCATTTCTCTCTGTGCATGTGTGGGTTCTCTCCAGGTACCCAGGCGTCCCCCCACAGTCCAAAACCATAACTATCATGTTGACTGGTTTCTCTAAAATTATCCTTAGGTAGTTTGTGTTTCCTGTGTGTCTCTGTGTTGCCCTGCAATTGACTAGTATCCTGACCAGGGTGCATCCTGCCTGTTTGCCCGGAGACCGCTGGAGATAGGCACCAGCCCCGTGCACGGACGAGCGGGTTCAGATAATAGATGGAGGGATGGGTGCACCATTGGTATTGTGTTTTCACTTTAATTAGCATTTAGCCGATTAGATTACGATTAATGCTTTGAAATGTTGTATTAAAAATGTTTTTTTTTTTTTTCAAAGTTACGAACCGGTTACATGTGCCACACGATCAAATGTGTGCTACTACCTGGCCACCTCAAAAAATTCCTTGACACGCCACTGCAGGAGCGTTGTGGCATGCGGGGCGGAGTTTAAACCAAGCGGCTGCACCTCTCTTTTCTGGGCTGCAGCCGAAACAGCTCTTACCTCTGCAGAACTGAAGAGAACCAAACCGAGAAGAGGTTCATCCTTCGGATTATCAGAGATTAACGCACAGCCAGAAACTGCAGCGACTCAGGTGAGTAAAACACGAAATCACTGGCTGCATGCTTCGTTCCTTCGAACGCGGTTAAAAGCTCAGCCCCCCAGAGCCTCCGAGTATTGAGGGTAGAGGTAGAGATTGTGCAAAAGCCTGTAAACGCTTAGAAAAACACTCCTGCAGGATCCTCAGCTGCTCGGTTCTCGTGATCCCATTGAAACTTCAGCTGCTTTTAAAAAAGATTTCTGCAAATATGTCTTAATTACTTAGTTTTAGTCATTTAACTCCTTATGCAAAGTCTCAAATCTTGTTATTGATTATATTAATCCATCTGGTTGCAGGAATGTGTTTGCAGCCAAAGGTCAACACTTGCAAATGTTGTGACTAGGAGAGAGAGTGCACTGCAAACTCAAGTATCGTTGATTGTAATGTAGATCTCTCTTCTCAGGACAGACTCAGGATCAGCACTCTCCTGTCCCCAACATGGCTGAGACTAAGGGCAAATTTGACTTTGCCATTGACCGCGGAGGCACATTCACAGATGTGTTCGCCCGGCTGCCCGACGGACGTGAGAGAGTCCTGAAACTGCTCTCCAGCGACCCCCAAAACTACAAGGACGCCCCAACAGAGGGGATCCGTAGAGTCCTGGAAGAGGTGATGCCAACCGCTGATCAGTAAATTTGGCAAGATGGAAACATCCAGACATTAATTCTGTGTTTGGTCATCGTTCTGGACAGGAAACAGGACAGGTGTTTCCCCGTGAGCAGCCTGTAGACACCTCTCTTATTGGCTGGATCAGGATGGGCACCACAGTGGCGACCAACGCACTGCTGGAGAGAAAAGGAGAGAGGACGGCGCTGCTGGTCACTAAAGGCTTCAAGGACTTGCTGCACATCGGCACACAAGCCAGACCAAAACTCTTTGATTTGGTCTGTCTTTCTTTCCCCCTGATTTCATTATTGCTGACCCCTCTTTCTCCTCGAGCGATAGCTCTCACAAGTCCACCTGTTTGCTTATTAGTCGGTGCTTCAGTAACTAATCCTGGAGTTTGGTCTCAGACTCTTTGCTCTATAAACCGTTTTAAAAGGTGCTGACAGAAGTCTGCTGTTGTAACAGGAAGTCGCCATGCCTGACGTGCTGTATGAAGAAGTGATAGAAGTGGATGAACGGGTCGTCCTCCAGAAAGATGGCTGCCAGCTGCCCAGGAACGATCCAAAACGTACCGTAACAGGTGAGGAAACACTTGACCGAAGCCAGTTATGTATGAAATACGTTGTTTCTTTTGTGTCCAGTTGTCTTGGGTTGAGAATTTTGTATGTTTATTTTAATTTCTTACACATCCCAGGCGGTACGGGGGACACCTTAGAGGTGTGGAAGGAGGTGGATCTGGAGCAGGTGGAAAAGGACCTGAGAGGAATTCTATCCCACGGTATCACCAGTGTAGCCGTTCTCCTCCTTCACTCTTACACGTCAGTACTTCTGCAGGAATGCACTTCTTTTGTACTGGTGACTTTTTCCACTCAATTTCCTTTGTTTTACCTCTTTGTTGTCACTGATTTATTTAAGGACTAAGTTCGATTGCTGTTCAACACATTTGTAGCGGCCTCTAGTTTAAACAAATGCCTTGTGAGTCGATCTCTTTAGGAAAAACGTTCTGGTGCTCCTGTTTTAGGAAGAAGTTAGCTAGGTCAGAGGATGGCAGGATTTGGCATCTTAATTCCTGATATTCAGACATCTCACTTCTGATTGGCCAACAGCAACGCACAGTTTGTTCTGTAATGTTGATGTTTCATCTCCACAAATAACACAAGCTGGTGACCTTGGTCTGTATCTGTATGAATTAGCTTGTGGACGGATAGTTTTGTTTTTCAATAGCAAAGGTGGTTCTTTGGGCGGGGCCACAGGGCATTGGCCCCCGTCCTATCGCTCATCTGTCATTTGCACGATGATTGCAGATGCAATTCCAAGTCCAAACACTGGTAGCGCTTATGAGCTCAATAGGAAATCTAGTGTAAGGAAGTTGGACCAATACTTGGCCCCTTGATGGCCCTTAATCAGAAAAATCCTAGATCCGCCACTGCTCTGTGGGAGAGCAGCGATGTGTCCCATGACTGGGTAGAAGTTCATGTTTTTCTTCCCACCTTCACATTTTGTTTTCTCACACTTGAAGAGTTTGCAGATTCTTAAAATTTTTTGTCTAGTTAAAAAAAAATCGTAAAATGCTTAAAAAAATCAAATCAAATCGCTTTTATTGTCACGTCACATGTGCAGGTACACTGGTACAGTACATGTGAGTGAAATTCTTGTGTGCGAGCTTCACAGCAACAGTTGTGCAAAATACAATAACGTAAAAACAAGCAAAATATACAAATGGCCAATCTAAGTAATAATATATATAGTATGTAAGGTATATACATTCCTAAATGTGTGTGCTAAGTATTTTATTTTTTATTTTTCTACGTGTGTGCATGTGAGTGTGTGTATAATGCGTATACACATATTTAACCAATGAATAAAGTAAACGATAAAATAAGAGATATAAATGTACAGAGGTTGGTATGTGCAAAACAGTGGCATTAATGTACAGTATGGAGTGTGTAATGTTGGAGTTTCAGTAGTGAGAGTGAGGTGTCTGTGAAGTGTTCAGCAGTCTGATGGCCTGATGGAAAAAGCTGTCTCTCAGTCTGCTGGTTCTGGACCGGATGCTGCAGAACCTCCTTCCTGATGGAAGTGAACAGTTTATGGCTGGGGTGACTTGAGTCCTTGATGATCCTCGCCGCTTTCCTCAGGCACCGCTTCTTATAGATGTCCTGGAGGGAGGGAAGATCACCTCCAATAATCCTTTCTGCACACCACACTACTCTCTGGAGAGCTTTGCGGTTGTAAGCGGTGCTGTTGCCATACCAGGTGGAGATGCATCCAGTGAGGATGTCCAGTTTGACATTTTTTACACGTCTTCTTCTCATTCTTTATGAAGTTATGTTGTTTTACCCGATTGGACAACCAGAGGAGCAACGGTAGGATTATCTAACCGCTTCATGTTTGACTCACTCCACCTCCATGTTTGCTTCAGGTGGCCTGAGCACGAGAAGGCGGTGGGCGCTCTAGCGCGCCGTCTGGGCTTCACCCAGGTGTCTCTCTCCAGCGAGGTGATGCCGATGGTGCGGGCCGTCCCTCGTGGCTACACGGTCTGCGCTGACGCCTACCTCACCCCTAAAATTCATCAGTATTTAAAAGGCTTCACGTCTGGATTCAAAGGGGGGTTGAAGGTGTGTGTGTGCATGCATGTGTGTGTGTAGTTGATTTAAAAATATACATTCTTATTTTTACTTCTCATTTCCAGGACGTGGACGTGTTGTTCATGCAGTCAGATGGAGGTCTGACCCCCATGGAGCAGTTCTGTGGATCCAGAGCGATTCTGTCTGGACCTGCTGGGGGCGTGGTGGGATACGCCATCACCTCCTACAGCCAGATGGAGAAAAAACCTGTGATTGGCTTCGACATGGGCGGTGTGTGTGTGCTCGAACACTTGTGGAACTGTTCAGGAGATTTGTTGCAGCTTGTGTTTTCCCCTGCAGGAACCTCCACGGACGTGAGCCGATACGCGGGTCAGTACGAGCATGTGTTCGAGGCCACGACGGCAGGAGTCACCCTGCAGGCGCCTCAGCTGGACATCAACACCGTGGCTGCAGGAGGAGGCTCACGGCTCTTTTTCAGGTGGATGGTTGTTGGAAGCTGTGTTTTACTGTAAACCTGATATTATTTCATTTGAATTTACATTTATGCATTTAATAATATTTGATTTGGGATTTTTAGTTCTTTTTGTGTGTCTTCCCATCAGATCAGGGATGTTTGTGGTGGGACCAGAGTCTGCAGGTGCACATCCAGGACCTGCCTGCTATAGAAAAGGTTGCTACATTCTACCTCTCTAAACTCATGACCAGATGAATAAATAACTTGACAGTTCTGCTGCAGTGGCTCAGTCTTCTTGATTAATCATTCCCTCCATGCTGTTAAAAATCAGAACTCCACAGACATCACCTTCCTCTGGGTTAATAATCTGCCTGATGTGCAGAATAGATAGAAACGGGCTCCTGAGCTGGAATTTCAAAATAAAATGCATAATTTTCTTGTCTTGTTAGCGTTTCCAGGAGATAATTAAAGAATCAGGCCTGTTTTGTTTAACATTTCTACACAAGTGACTGAAACATTTGAGAACTTTATTTGTTTGTTTTTATTTTGGTAGGTGGTCCTCTGACTGTTACCGATGCTAATTTAGCTCTGGGTCGCCTCCTTCCAACGTTCTTCCCAAAAATCTTTGGACCAGCGGAGGATGAACCCTTGTCTTTGGGGGAGACGATGAAGCAATTCCATCATCTCACTGATGAGATAAACCACTTCCTGTCTTTAAACCAATCACAGGCAGGGGCGTTTTCTGAATCTTCTTTTGTACTTCTGAATGCAATTATGTTAAAGTTTTGTTTTTGGTGAAGGTGGGAGAAAATAAACCGCAGAACAACGTGGTGTCCAACATCCAATCAGAGATGAGTGTTGAGGAGGTTGCTATGGGGTTTATTCGTGTTGCTAACGAGGCCATGTGCAGACCAATCAGAGCCCTGACACAAGTAGGGTTTAAACTTTTAAATTTTTTTTACTTTAAAAAGAAAATATATGTATATTTATAAGTTGTGCCTTTTTTTCTTTTCTCATCTCTCCTTTTAACCCTCCACCTCAAAAGGCCAAAGGTCATGATACGTCCCAACATGTATTGGCGTGTTTTGGGGGTGCAGGTGGACAACATGCGTGTGCTATTGCTCGAGCTCTGGGGATGAAGACTGTCTTCATTCATAAGTAAGGCTGGTGGTGTGTGTTTGGGCAGTGATGAAAGCTGGTCACATAATGAGTGTGTGTGTGTGTGTGTGTTTTATAGGTACAGTGGTGTGTTGTCGGCGTACGGTCTGGCTCTAGCAGATGTCGTAGAAGAAGTGCAGGAGCCGTGCTCGCTGAAGTACGAGCAGCAGTCTTTTGGCGAGCTCGACTGCAGGATGGACCAGCTTTCTAAACGCTGCAGCGACACGCTCGGCTCACGTGGCTTCAACAGGTCAGCAACCGAAGCACCCCGTGAGTCTGGGTGGGTGCTTCCCTGAAAGGACTAAAACGATCTTGTTCTCGTCAGCGGTCAGATAACCACTGAGATTTTCCTCCACCTGCGGTACGATGGAACCGACTGCGCTCTGATGGTTACAGCTGACGGTTACCCCGGCAACCCCCAGTCCTGTCGAGCTGGAGACTTCCGCGCCGCCTTCACCAAACGGTTTGCTGGGTTTAGTTTAGATTAAATCCTGTCTCCCTACAGATCTCTTATTACACAGTCTTCTGTCGGCAGTTACAAGAAGGAGTTTGGCTTCACCATCCCAGACCGACCCATCGTGGTGGATGACATCAGAGTGAGGGGTTGTGGGAAATCTGGTATCACATCAGCATATAAACCAAAAATGGAGCACAGACAAGCCAAACCTGTCATGGTAATAAATCTTCTTTAGTAATTAATTACATTTATTTAAGAGAAGTGAAGTTATATTAATTACCGGCACCCCTCTCCTCAGACGACCAAGTGCTACTTTGAGGAAGGTTACCTGGAGACCAGTGTGTACCTGTGGGAGGAGCTTCCATGTGGCGTCAGCATTCGGGGACCGGCCATCATCATTGACAAAAACAGGCAAGGATTTCCAACTAAATGTTTTACCCACTGAGGTAAATTAAATTTTTATTTAGAGCTAATTTAATGCTTAGTGGGGTACCCCAAGGCTCTGTTTTGGGTCCACTCCTGTTTTTACTAATCCAAACTCCATTTCTGTAAGACATGCAACGTATCCAGTAACTTAATTTTGACTGATCCCCCCCCACCCCGTCATCAGCACCATCCTGGTGGAGCCGTCCTGTGAGGCCCATCTTACTAACAAAGGCGATGTTTGTTTGACCGTTGGCTCAGACCATAATTTCATCCTCGGCACTAAACTCAACACAGTGCAGCTCTCGATCTTCTCCCATCGCTTCATGAGTATAGCGGGTACGTCGACGCAGGTAAGTGGACTGCACAGGCGTGGTTTGTTATCAGGAAGTAAAAACTCGTTCCGTCTACAGAGCAGATGGGTAGAGTCCTCCAGAGGACATCCATCTCTACAAACATCAAAGAGCGTCTGGACTTCTCCTGCGCCGTGTTTGGACCCGATGGAGGTCTGGTTTCCAACGCGCCGCACATCCCGGTCCATCTGGGAGCCATGCAAGAGACGGTCCAGTACCAGGTGAGTTCTGAGCCGAAGATGTGTCTGATTATGACTAACGGAGTAAAAAATAATCTGCTTTTAAAATGAAGATCAGAGCACTGGGGAGCAAACTGAAAGATGGAGATGTGATTCTGAGTAACCACCCGTGCGCCGGAGGCAGCCATCTTCCGGACCTTACCGTCATCACACCGGTCCGCCCGCCCAGACATTCCTTCAGCATTCCTTCCTGCTTTTACCTCGTCCTGATCTTTCCTGCTTGGGTTCTGTTCTCTTCTTCATTTCAGGTGTTTAGAAAAGGAGTGAACGATCCGGTGTTCTTTGTGGCCAGCAGGGGGCATCACGCCGACATCGGAGGCATCACTCCAGGCTCCATGCCGCCTCACTCCACATCCCTGCAGCAGGAGGGGGCAGTCTTCATTTCATTTAAGCTGGTCAGCGGGGGAGTCTTCCAGGAGGAAGGTGGGGGGGAGGAGGCAGGGTGGATCTGCGACTCGGAACATTTTAGTGTTTTCCAGGATAAATAGGAAAGTTTGAAAAAATATTTGTGCTTCATTTACTTTTTGTTGTGTCTTTATTTAAAGAAATAGTGGAAACAAACTCTTTTCTTATTTCTTATTTTAAAAAAATGGAGGTTATTTTACTCCATTAGGAATGTTTGAACTGTTTTCCTTTAGTTAGTGACTGAATTCATCCTAGAATAAGCTACAAGCAGCCTTAAGGATGGTCTCCGCTCATGTTTATCTCCCGTCTCTCTGATTGTCACCGACTTCCTCTCTTCCACTTCTCTCCCTATCAGCTGTGACTGAAGCTTTGATGGCTCCGGCTCAGTATCCTGGCAGCTCTGGGACTCGTAACCTCCACGACAACCTGTCAGACCTGCGGGCTCAGGTGGCAGCAAATCAGAGGGGCAGCCAGTTGGTGGGCGAGCTGATCGACACGTATGGCCTCGCGGTGGTTCAGGCCTACATGGGACACATCCAGGTGACTGTGCTGTTTAAGCGTGCTTTAATTGTGAAGCCAGCGCTCTGACGTGACTTGTTTCAGAGCAACGCTGAGCTGGCAGTGAGGGACATGCTCAGAGAGTTTGCACAGCAGCGCCGGGAGCAGACCGGATCCTTGGAGGTGGAATCTGAGGATTTCATGGACGACGGGTCGCCGATCAGACTGCGGGTTCAGATTGACGAGGAAGAGGTGAGGATCACCTCATCGGGGGTGAACCTGACAGCTGAAGGGGTTTTTAGAGGGTGAGTCGAGTGGATTTCATTGTTGCAGGGCAGCGCGGTGTTTGACTTCACCGGGACGGGGACAGAAGTGTGGGGGAACTGTAACGCTCCGCGGGCGATCACCCTGTCTGCCCTCATCTACTGTCTACGCTGCATGGTGGGACAGGACATACCCCTCAACCAGGTAAAAAGCTCAAACCCTGAGCTAAAAAAAACAAATGTTTCAGTGTGGAGATGTGTGTCTATTTTATTTATTTTATTAAGGGTTGCCTCAAGCCAATCAGCGTCATCATCCCGCCTGGCTCCATCCTCCAGCCGTCCCAGAATGCAGCAGTGGTCGGGGGAAACGTGCTCACGTCCCAGAGAGTGGTCGACGTCATATTTAAGGCGTTTGAGGTGTGCGCAGCCTCACAGGTGAGTCGTAAACTCAGACTTCAAACGGAAAAACTCCTCTGAGGAAACGCTGATGGAGCCTCCTTCCATCAGGGCTGCATGAACAATATTTCGTTCGGCAGCGAGAAGGTTGGTTATTACGAGACTGTTGCTGGAGGAGCCGGAGCCGGACCTGGCTGGAACGGGCGCAGCGGAGTGCACAGTCACATGACCAACACCCGCATCACCGATCCAGAGATTCTGGAGAAGAGGTGCGAGATTTCCGTGCTGAAGCTTTTCTTATTTTTACTGTTCCTGATCTGTGTGTTGCTGCCATCCAGGTACCCTGTGATTTTGGAGCATTTCTCTCTGCGGCCTGACTCGGGAGGTGCAGGGCAGCACTGCGGTGGAGACGGGGTGATACGGAGACTTTTGTTCAGGAGCGAGGTTGTTCTGTCCGTGCTGACAGAGCGGCGAGTCACCCGCCCCTACGGCCTGAAAGGTAACCCGTAACCCTTGAGGTGCTCTTCCTTGGTTTTTAACAGGACATAATAATTGAACGTTTTTCTCTTTGATGGTCAGGTGGTGAGGATGGAGCTGCAGGGCTGAACCTGCTCCACAGAGCTGATGGCCGAGTCCTCAACCTGGGAGCCAAGACCAGCGTCAGCCTTCAGCCGGGGGTAAACACTGTGATGTTCATTTGAAACAAAAGCCTGAGTTCTTGGAAGGAAAGTAAAGCCGGGCATACACTGTGCGACTTTTTCACTCGCAGCGTTCGGCTTCAGCTCAAACTGTACGACTTCCTCGCAGGGCAGATCTCACGAGTCATGTGCTCACGCTGTACGTCTGGTAGCAACACGTTGGACCTAAAAATATGCTAAAAATAGCAGTTTTTACTCAACACGTCAGACTTTTTTGTCTTGTTTTGCCTGTTGTCCTTCGGGAGTGCTGCAGGAGGACACACAGGGATTTATGGGGGTTGGATGAGGAAAACGAAATAAAGAAAGTAAATCTGTGTTTTGTGATCAGTTTAATTTGACATGAACACGACAAACACGCTTTCTTGACAATCTTTGTGAGTAAAAAAACGTGTAGAAACAAAAACGAACAGCGTGTGTTATTAGGGAAATAGCGGGTGAGTGGTGTTGATGCAGGATTGCGCATGCGCCGTGAGCGGTTCTGATACTTTTTGGGTCGCAGCTGCTCGCAGCGCCGCTTCAACAGTGCGATACCCTCACGAGGGACGAGCGAAATATCAAACACTCCAGAAGTCCGTGCGACCTCACGACTGCTGATCGGCAGCTGGTCACGTGGTGTTAATCGCCTCTCGTAACCCCCCGTACACTACACGACCGCTCGGCGCAAAACTCGCCCCGATGTCGTGGATTCTCGCACGAGTGGAAAATCGGCTCAAAAAAGTGAAAAAGTCGCACAGTGTACGCCCGGCTTAAATTTGTCAATATCAAGTATCAGATCATGGCCTGATTAAGATATTTTTTCATTGATCAGCCTCAGATCTCTATTGTTAACCTACTTTCTACAGCAGCATATGTTTACCCCAGCATGTATCCTAAAAGGTCTGGTTTATTTTCTGTTCTGTTTACCTCGGCTACAGAGGTTCCATAGCGTACATATTTTGCTGGAAATCTGCACATCTTTTATTTTGAAAGTTTCCAGATGTTTTACTCTGCCCTTGTGTTTGAATTCCTGTCTGACCCAATCTAAACTTCTGAGCTCGACGCCTTTTGGACGTGTAGCAGGAAATAAAATACACCAAAGGCGAAAATTTAGCAGAGCAACGCTCCTGCGATGCTTCGCAACCGGTGGAAACGCAGCCATTTGCTGTAAAATCGGGTAATTGCTGTGTAGTACACTTTGCAGATATTACGTGACGCTTACACGTCCGATGGAAAGACTCGTTACGGAGCAGGATGAAAGAAGCATGTTTGTCCTGAGCAGGAGCCAAGTAGCCCTGCAACCAACGACCCTGTTCTGAGCTCCAAACTTAAAATCTCTGAGTTGGTTTCACTTTCACTCAGCTTCATTTATGATGAAAAAGTTAAATTACTTTTAAAACCAGATGAGCTTATTGTCTACTGTCTTCCCAAATGTTTTCAATTGAATTCGAAAACGCTGTTTGAAACGCTGTTTATCAACATTGTTGATTCTTATGGATCCAGGTTGTTTTCACCTGTTTATATCATTTAAGAACGTTCACAAGCAACATAAATGAACTGTCTCCCTTCTGTCTGTCTCCCCCTGCAGGACATGTTCTGCCTCTACACCCCCGGAGGAGGTGGCTATGGAAGAGAGGAAGGAAACAGAACTCCAGAGGCTAAACGGAGGCGCTTGTATGAGACATTCCCAGAGAGGGGGAGCGTTTTTGAATACAGATTGGCACAAGAGGGAGTGTAAAATAAAAAATAAATAAAGATGAGAAAGAGCTAACAGATCAGGCATTTGTGAAAACTCAAATTTTCTTGAACTAAACGTAAATGCTGACACTTGTAACACCTTCTTTATCTCAGTGAACTCACCCCTTAGGGTTTATTTTTAACCTTTTTTCTTTTCAAATAGACAAATAAATCTCTTTTCTACAATGAGATGGTCATTTTTCAAATCTTTTACAGTAATCTGTCCCTTGAAGGATGTTTTTGAAAGAAAATAACTTGAAACAATCAGTTCTTTGTGGAAAAACTCAAGGAATGCTCCACATGAGGGTCGTTGACCTCTCAATGAGACAATTTGCACGACAGCAAAGATCATGCATGACAGGTAGTTACACCCAAGATTGTTGTTGTTGCCCCTCCTCCCTACTCTGGTGAAATCACAACCCCCTCCTCCCATCTTTGGAATCAGGATTGATGAGGAGCAGGCGTTTGTAGGCAGCTGATAGTGGTCACAGCAGGAGGAGCAGCGGGAGGCTGACGGCTGCAGGACTGGTGATGGAAATCAGGATGTGTGTGTGTGTGTGTGCACGCACATCTTCTCAACTCAAAGAGTTCATGCATTTTTTATTGAGCCCCAACTCCCATCTTTATGGCTGGCTCTTTAGGAGTCATGTTTTCATGATTCCAGCTAACTTCTACAAGTTGCAGCTAGTCAGCTCAGATTAAAGTTTATATAGTAAATAAATACATAAACATCTTTAGAAACATTTCTGATAAAACATGCAGTCACTTCTGAAGTGAAACTCTTTAACGGTGCTAAAAGGGTGTTCAGTCTCAAGATATGTGTTAAGTCCAGTGATGCAATGTGATGAAGTACAAGTACTTCATTACTGTACTTAAAGGAGCAATAAGTACTAATTTTATAGTTAAATAATCCTAAAATGGTCTAATTTCAATCATGTTGGAAGGAATGTTACATCGAAACATTTCGTTTCAGCTGATGTGGGGGTTGTCACGCTTTCCAAAACATCTCCATCAAAGCGTCTTTCTCTCGCGGAGCTGATGCAGAAGCATAAATTAGGCTTCAGCCAGTAACAGGAGCGACCCAGAAGTTATTTCTTGCACCCCTACGAAGCCACAGCATCCTTCTGCTTTAAGCTTGGTTTATGCTTGACGCATTCACTTTCCGCGCGGTGATGCGGCTCGCAGATGGAACGCGCTTCACAACTCGCAGCTTTTATGGTTTGTGCGGCTCGTCTCTGCGGTGAGCCAATATTCTCCCAAACTGAACGGGGCAGCATGGAGCTCTACAGCATGCATCCAACACTACACCATAGTAGAAGTAGAAATTACTGTTTACAACATGGTATTTCAGCATTTTTAACAGCGTCCTCGTCTTTTCCGACAGCGCGAGCTATTTCTCTCCAAGAATTATTAACAACATGTTGATCACGGTGATCTCTGAGAGCTGAATCATACAAATGTCTGTATTTACGAACCTCTGCCATGCTGGTCCGCCATGTTTTTCCGCGTCCGACCATCCGCGTGGTTAGAAATTTTCCGAGGTGCGCGTTGCGGAAATCTTGGGCCGTGCGGAGACGCGGTGGAGGGGCGTGGTTGTTAAAATGACGCAAAATGACGCAACTTTTCCGCGCGGAGCCGTGCGGACCTCGCGGACGCGTCAAGCATAAACCAACCTTTACTCGAACATCAGGTAAAGAAGGCTAAAGGCTAGCGCTGAGCTAAAGTTTTTAAAAGTGAACTTGAAACTAAAAATATCTCAAGGTTTTTTCAATTACCAACAACTCAGTATTACAGTAAGGCGTGTTTATCTACCGACCAACTTCATGTGTATGACTCGTCTTCACCTGCCCGCTAGAATCTCCTGGTGCAGATCCGTAGCAGCCATGTTGTTCAGGGTGGACGTTTGTTTTGAAACATGGACTGCAGTACACACATTTGACAAGAAGATGTTTTTCTTTCTTCATGCACCCTTTAGTACAATCTCTCCGTAGCCATACTTTAGCAATTTTCTTAAAGCCTACTTTTTATTTTTACTCTACATTTTAAAGAAATTATCTGTATTTCTACTCCACTACAGCATAGTTTAATTGGTGTTTTACCAAATCTCAGCCATGATAAAACAAATCTATTTAGCATTCACTGGTTTATTAAGTTGTAGTTGCACGTTCAGGTACTTTATGAAACCCTACTTCTATTAAAATTATAAAAGTCCTTGTGTTAAAATCTATGAGCAAAATCATTGCAAACAGGAAAATAAAGAAACTTTAACATGTTGGCATAAAACATAAAAGAGTACTTATGTTATTTCAAAGTTTTTAGCTTTACAGTTCTTCAGAATTGTCTATCGTTAAAAAGTTGAAGTATTAAAAATTATTCGTCTGGTTTGAGCTCTTTTACTAAATTTGACCCAAATGCAAAGATAAAGATCCTGTTTTGTTAGATTTTTCTAGATGTTTTTAAATTGTCACATACAACAATATGCGCTTTGGGCTTCCTGACAGGGTTGCGGAAGGCGCTTTATAAATAATGCTTTGATTGATTGATTGATTGAACAATAGGCATGCGTGTTAAAATATTTTTTTATTTTAAACCCTGTTTGAGTTGAGTAAACTATCACGGAAACGTGACATAACATTCAGCCGTCAGTGTAGGAAGACATAAGAAACATTACAAACTGTGCAAATGGGAAATTGTGCAGTTTGAGGTGTTTTAGAGTCACAGGAAGCTGACCAATATTTAAAAAATGCAACATTTTCCACTTTTTGTTATGATTAGAGCCACAAACACATTTCATGGGTGATTATCTGGTCACAAGTAAAAGCAATCTTAAAACAAACAAATATCTAAATACAGAACAACAGTCAAACCAAAGCAGAGATTTTACACAAAATGATTGTTCAGACTTATTTAAAGTAGCTGCCGCCCAGATCAGTCCCAGATCCCTCAGGGTGAACTAACCCTGACATTGAGCCAGCTCTGACCTTTTCGTCTTGAATCATCAGTAAACACGGCTGTACATTCAGCAGCCATAACGGGTAAACATTTAAAAGAAATTGTGAAACAGTGCAAGCAAAAGACCTGCAGTGCAAAGAGTTTGTCAGGTTACACTGGAACACTGAGGTGGATATGAGTGCGATGGCTGTAAACTTTGTGATTCCAGCTGCAGGAGGCTCAGTACTGATGGTACCGGTCGAGCGGTGCCCCGTTCTGCAGGCTGTACGGACTCTGCGGCTGCTGATGTGAGTACGAGTTCTGATTTGTTGGCATCAGGGCATCAAAAACGCTTTTATTTGGAGGCACGGATTGCAACATGCTGTCCAGGTCCATGAGCAAGGGTGGGGCTTGAACCGATACCTGCCGGCTGGGGAGGATGGGCCAGTAGGCGTGACTCAAGAAGTGACCAGAGGTCACAGGAGAGCTGCTGTAGCTGTAAAAAGGTATTCCACCATGCAGAGGCATCAGCGGACCTCCGCTGAATCGCATGCTAGGTGGGGCAACAGCATTAGGAGGAGCATACTTAGCATAGGAGGTAGGGAGCTCCCATGGAGGAGCAAGAGTTTCCCGTCTGGAGGATTTGTGCAGTGGCAGCCTGTAGTCCTCATAACTTTTAGCATTACGCTTCCCAAGGTGTGGAGCTCCCCTCCAGTCCTCATCAGAAGAGGAAGCGGTGGAGGCAGGACTCACAGAGCTGGCAGAGGAGGTGTAACGGGGTTGTGGAGGAGGAGATGGACGAGGGCGTTCCATCTCGCCCAAGCAGTCCTTGTCCACCTCCGCAGAAGCAGTAGAGGGCCGCAGGCTGTGCAGAAGGGAGTCGATGGCGAAGGAGGAGTCCAGCTTGGGTCGAAACGAGTCCTGTGAGGGCGAGGGGTCTTCAGAGCGCATGGGGGGGACGGAGGTCACAGAATCAGGGGGTGTCTCAGATATTTGTTTGTAATCCTGCAGGATGTAAGGGGCCAGATCCTTAGCAAAAATGGTCTCATCCTGACGGGACACAGCTGTATTCTGCCTCTTCAGGAGCTCCGGAGGAACACGGCTCAGGTCCACAGCCCAGAAGTTCCCTTTTCCCTGAGGCTTGTCTGGGTCCTTCAGCACCTGGAGGTGAAAGCAGGACAGGCAGGACTGAACTGGTTTCACAAAAACCCATCACAATGACGACAGGCTCAGCTCCAACAAGAGTTAATGATTTATTTTATAATTTAAACAAACAAACCTTAAAAAAGCAGTCATAGAAGGAGAGGTTGTGTCTTATGGAATCACGCCATCCATTGTAGCTTCCTTTGAATAATGGAAAGAGGGCACTGATCTCCTTGAAGATCTGAAGAAAAATAATCAGAATTATTTTGTCATCAGTTTGATAGAAAAACAGCACCGAGGTTTGCTTTTAGGAGATAAAAACACATAATCTTAGTGGTAAGGATGGGTTTTCTGGCCATATCTTATCAGGTTCTGATACAGATCAGCATCTGGTTTCACTGCAGTCCAGGCTTATCAAAGCAAACCCAAGTGTCACATTCGGGTGGCTGTTTAATGTCAAACGATCTATTTCTGCGCAGCTAAAGAAAATCGAACTATTTTTAGTTTGTGGCACCGTGCGTAAAACACCGCGTGCGTAATTGTAGAAAATGTTAATTTTTACCTCAGATAACGTCAGCTTCTTTTCTGGAGATCGTTGGATGACCATGGCGATCATGGCAAGATAAGAGTACGGTGGTTTTGGATACCGCTGGTAGTTCTTCTTCTTCCCGCTTTTCTCCGCTTTACCGCTGCGCGAAGATGCGTTCTGGGTCATTCGTTGCTGCGTCGTGTGGGCACCATCCTCATTCTGGTGCGATACCGGCGGGTCATCCATGAATCCCTTGGTGCGCACAGACACGGATGGTGCCTCCAGACGCGGCGGCTGCAGCGGAGCCATCTGAACCGTGCGGCGGGCTGAGGAGCTCCGCGTTACGCACCTGGACGGTAAACTCCGCAGCCCATTTCTGTAGAAGTCAAGTTGATGGCGATGGTTCCTGAGGTGGGACGGGACTGGTTGTGCCAAGCAGCTCTGCTCCGGCTTGTGCTTTGTCATGCAGAAGCGAAGCCAGGAGGGGTGAGGGAGGGAGGGGGGAGGAGAGAACGCACGTTCGGACAGGAGCACAGAGAGAGGGGGTAGGTCAAAAAGCCGGTCTTTCACTTCTGGCTCCAGGCTGACGCTATTTGAAGAGCAAACAATTAACAGTTTCATGTAAATCCTGCTGCGTAATCGAGGAGGGGAATGGCGCGGAACGGCTGATCGCCCTGGGGGGCTGGGATGGCGCAGAGGAAGGGGCCAGAGAAGGACATTAAAATACCCCTGAGATAATATCAACAAGCCACATACAGGACATGTGACCGCGTTTAGTTTGGAAACGAGCTGTACGGGATTTACGCACGATGACGTTTAAAGGAAGAGTTGGAATCAACTTTACTGGGTTTAATTTGAGTGTATTAGTGACGTCAATTTAGCAAACAGGGCTTTAAAATGTATACTTAAAAATAAGCAAACTATTTAAGACTGATAGATAAGGGACGAGGATTATTCTAGTGTCAACAGTTCTTGGAGGGAAATTTGCATATAAATGCCTCAGTAATACACTTTTTGAGCCACTTTAACTAAACTCACACACAAACAAGTGCTTTATTTTCTAAGAAACGTGCATTTATTACATTCAGCGTCATCATTCTGGCTCTGGGAGCGCGCGCACCAGGCGGTGTCCCTCGCTGTCTGTCCAGGTTGTCCCACTGAAAGACTCAGGTTTCGGGAATGTGAGTCTTTTGTTCTATTTAACGCAGTGCTAATGCAAAGTCTTGCTTCCCAGCAAGTCAGTGAAAACAAGAAGGGAGAGGATGGAGACTTCTTTCCACGGGGAGGGAACCAACAAAAAAGCTGCTTAGCATGCGAGGAAGCTCCCATTCAAAAGCATTTGTGAGTTTTCTGCAGCTAACAAGCTGAAAAGTGTTAAATCTGGGCAGGGCTTCAACACTTCATGCATGTTCTTCTCCTCGGGAAACTCCCTCACTCAAAAAAAAAAAAACAACAACAACAAAAAAAAAAAAAAACGCCCAGAATCAGCAAATCTAGAATGTTTGCCACGGTGCAAACCTTCACACTCTTCCTTAAAGTGTTAATTTTGTCCTCTTTATTGCACTAATTGTTTTATCATAGCCTATGATCTTAATTTAACACATCCTCCCTAAATAACACCCCACATAATACTTTTATGTTCACACATTTTTGTTATAATAAACATAATTTAACAGGGATTTCTTTTTATGATTAAAAAAACAACTCACCACTCAAATTTGCTGCCTTTTCCCATCTTGTTAGTTCATAGATGTTTGTATTTGCAATCCAGGTGAGTTAGCTCTTGCATCACCCACCTGTTTCTGTTTCTTTGATCATTCACCTGGTTGCTTGAGAGACTTTGTCTCCCTCTAGTGGTGTAATCCAACTGGAACTGGTCGTTTTTAAATCGTATTTCCATTCCCCCCTGAAACTGCAGCTAAAATAGTTTGAATGCAAACTGTAAATCTATCTCTTCTTGTCTGCTGGAGAGTGAGTTAACAGGGTTTTACAGGATTAGCGCCCAAATCACAGGAAGAATGGGAAGCTGAGTGAAAAGGTCAGCATCAGGAACAAGATTTTTCACCAACAGGCTGATTGTGTTTTGCTAAATCCACTCTAAGCTGGCCTGAAATGCATCCTGCTGCTGAGACGGTCAGAGAAAGTGAACCATCATTGAGCTACAGCCAATGACTGCAGGAAAAAGCAGATTTAAACACCTTTAAAGGGCAAACATGCACCTTTTTTGTTTGCTTGCTTTGAAAACTCTTCATGCAGGTATGAGCTCTGCAGGAGAACTGCATCACGTCGCCTGCAGGACGAAAGTTGGTGACAAAGGCTAATCTCTCAAGCTGCTTCCTTGTTGTGTCCCTGTTGAGCGTCACTGTTGTGCCGGTTGGCCGAGTCTCTGCAGGGAGTACACAGATCAGAGGATCACTGGTTATTTTAAGGAGTTGTCAGCTTTTCCTGATCTGAATTAAATCAAAGTTTTCAAAAAAAAATCAAACAGTTCTGCCTGGGAGCTTATTTTAAAGCATTTGCAGAGAATTTTACGTCCGTTTATGGCACAGTAGTTAAGAAAATGACAAACACACCCTTTAGATTTGACTTGGTAAAGTTTTTGTTTGATTGTACACGAAGGTATGCAAAACTGTCTCACCCGCTTGTTTTGCAGATGTTTGAGTTTACCTTTTAAAATCAGCAACATCAGGAAATCCTTCTGACTCAATGTCATCAGAGCCTACTAAAAATACAGATTGGTTTCATAGGTTCCTTCAGTTTAAGATATTTTATTTATCATCGTTATGCGCATTTCATTGACTGGAGCTATAAGAGTTTCAACAGAAGGTTTTAAAGAGGGCAGTTTATACAAAACTCAACATTTGCATCCTTTTCTGCTTCCAAATGTGAAAAAAAAAACCATTGATTGATTTTACGCCAGTGTTTAGAAATTATTTACTTAAAATGAGCCATTTCAAAAAGTCCCTGTTTGTGAGGTCACAAATGAAACAATTAGACCAGAATCACCTCTCAGGTGTAAGAGAGAGCTGCTGGAGGAGCAGTAGGTCTACTCTGAGCCCTTCACGGATATTGGAGCTTCTCAGCTAATAGCAGCCAATCATGGTGTGGCCAGCTCCAGCTTGTTTTTTTTACAGTGACAGAGCCCTGAAACGGGTCATTCAGGAAGGTACTGAAAATGTCAAGAATAAAACTTTTGAAATCCCCTTTTTAAAACTTCAAAACTTTTTTGATCCGCTCTGATCAGTACACTGTCTTGTGTATAGTAGCCGTTTCTCTAATTATTGCCACTTCATATTATTATTTTATCATGATTATATTCTTACGTCCTTTGCTTATCTCTTATTTTTATCCTTCTTTTGCACCAAGTACAGCAGCAATTTCGTGATTTCTTGCACATATGCCAATAAAACCCTTCTTCTACTAAGTCATAATATGTCCCCTTTCAGACAAAGTTGACCTAAACCTTTACAGTTTTGACTTTTAGACACATTAAAGCATTTCCCATCATTTGTGGTGTTAGGTTCATGAACATGAAAAAAGGAAATCACTAAAATAAAAGAAAAATTACAAACAATAATTTCATGAGAGCAACTGCCATCAAATACTTCTATGTCATGAAGCCCCTCAGCAACGGTGCTTTGGAAAAAAATTGGGTTTGTTATTATTATAAGTAACCTATGCAAAAACAACAGTCATTTTAACAGGAAATGCTTCAGTGCTACATGTTTGAGTTGCTATGTAAACCTTAGCCTTCAGTGTTTGGTGTGACTTTTCTGTGTGTCTGTTACATCAGCTGAGCATTGCTTATCCTGCACACACCCTCATGGAGTAAATTTAGTCAATTCCTTAAAAAACTATATATATATATATATATATATATATATATATATATATATATATATATATATAAGAAAGAAAAACAAAATTCTTTGCTTTATCCTGCCATGTGATTGCTATTATTATTACTAATCATAAACATGCATTTTATTAGAATTTAAGGGTGTGTGTGTGTGTGTGTGTGGGGGGGGGGGGGGGGGGGCAACCACCAGATCTGTGGGACGACCTGATTTTGACCAGCTGAACCCTAAACTTGCCTGTTTTTAAGGTTTCATAAGTGATAATTACCAATATTGACTCAGAGGCAACTAAAATGGCCCAAACCATGGTACTGCCACCATGTTTCACAGCTGAGACACTTGATTTATCAGTTTTATTTTCATCTCTTCAAACATAATTCTGATTATTCAGACAAATTACTTTTTCTAATCATGATTTTTAAAAGAATTGCAGCTGCTTGTAGAATCTCCAGATGGTGAGTAATTAACCTAAAAGCATTGTGGGCGACCTATTTACATTTTTCACACAGAATTTTCTTTACACGCCCTTTTCCTTAAGAGTGATCTCTTTTTGGCAAAACTCTCCTGAGGGGAGTTTAATGTTAGTTATTTTTTAACTTTTATGGACTTTGCGAGCTTTCACAGGAGTTTATTAAATCCTGCCATAATGGTGGGTGGTGGGAAAAATCTATTTATTTATATGTAACCATATTATTATTATTATTATTATTATTATTATTATTATTATTATTATTATTATTATTATTATTATTATTATTATTATTATTAATACTATTAATATTATTATTGTTCCATAACCGAAAACAGCTGTAGTCGTTCCTACAGGCTATTTAATTGGTGACTTTGGCGCCCCCTAGCAGAACGCCTCCAGCGGGAGGATAGCTCAAGGTCCCGTTGTTATGGTGAGGCATTTCCTCTGAGGGCTGGCAGGAGGAGCGGCGGACAGCAGCTGACTCACAGGTAAGACGTCGCCTCAACGTTTTCTCTCACTTCACGTCGAATTAGCGCACCAGTCCTAACTCAAGTCACATCATTTCGGTGGGATAAAGACGCTTGTTGAGGGAAGGTGAAGTATTTGCCAGAACTTCGCCGCGGGACGCTTCTGGTCATCGTGTAGCCAGCTAAGGTAACGTTAGCGTCACGTGACAGCTCCGCTCGACAGGTGCTCCTTTCATGAGAGTTTTAAAATTATATACAACTCGTCCGGGTCCAGGTGTCTTAGACGAACTGCTCACCTTTACCTGTGAGATGAACTACCTGTTGAACCTTAGCTGCTAAGGGAACTAGCTAATCTGCTGCTCCAACGGGTCAGGACGATGTTTGGGCTTGTTGATATTTACAATGTTAGTTGCAGTTCAACGTTACATTAATAGAGTAAGGCGAATATGTAAAAAGTATTTATTACATAGTTTAACCTTTAGGTTACCTGAACACGTTTCAGTTGGGTTTATGGTCTTCAGAACCTGCCGCCCTGTAGGTCATGGTTCAGGGCTAAACGTGCCCACGGTCTTTCATCTCTTTATAATCTTGTTGGTTTTTATTATTAAGCAGTTAACCAGGTGGTAAAACAGTCACCTGCCAACAGGTAGAGTTGTTTTATTCACAGCATCGATTCTAGTCCCAGATCACAATATCTCTGAGGCTAAAAATAGTTATTTGAGCAATTTAAAAAACTTGTAAGGTCAGAAAATAGTTTTATTAGTAAGACATGTTTTTCTTTGCTGCATAAATGTGAGTTAAATTATGGCAGGTGTAACTAGTGTGACCATTTCTGTAAATCAACAGATACATGATAAATAGTGTATTTCTTCCTTTTGATGAGTGTTATAGTAAACACTGTGCTGCCTGTTTTGTTTTTGTTTATCCCTAAATCTCTTAATTCCCCATTCTCGTGGCTGCTTGGCAGATTTACTGAGATTTTAAATGGCGCAACTCAAATCTTTACACATGACAGGGCTTACTTTCCAACCCTCCTTCTCATTCTGTCCTCCCATCAAGGTCAGCAACAGAATTTTTTCTCACGTTATCATCGAGGAATGGACCGAGCCTAAACTGAAACGAGATGTTTTGACTCTGCGGCCTTTTTAAAAACTGATGCACAGCTGGTGTGTTTATTTTTATTTTTTTATGTTTAATTAATTAGTAATTAAGCTCTGCTTCATGTGTAAGTGATTTTTAGTTTGAATTGTAAACAACAAAAGCAGCTTTTATGTGTGTTTGGCTCGGGTCGCCTGGCTGTGTTTCAAATTGGACGTAGATTCATTCCTGAATCATCAAGCTACATCGACTCAGCATTGTTTCTGTGAATTGGACAGGAAGGTCCAGTGCGTTGCATCAAACAGGACAGCAGGATGTTCTCTGCAGACAACGCTGTTTGGTGTTTAATGGTGACAAAGCAGCACGTGGTTTAAGGCCCGTCAGAGCTGTACACTGTTGTTTAACCTGTGTTCTTGTCATTTCGGTCACAAGCCGTTACACTGGGTACCAGCCACCTTATGAATGTGTGAGCTTTGAGTGTGTGTTCATAGTGCTCCATTCATTTGAGCTGTTGGAGGAGTTTGTGTTGCTCACAGCCTTTCCTGTTGGCTCATTAAATTGGAAAAAAAACCTCAGGAGACTACAAATGTGCGATTGATGTTTGCACATTTTTCCAAACATATAAAATACACGTTTTTATGAGTAGGTTCGAGCAACTTCTTTTTTTCCTCTGACTTTTGCTTGACTCAGGATCACAAGGTGCTTACAGTGTTGGGCAGAGAAGTTGGGTAGTATTTTCATCCACTCACCATTACATCTATTTTCTTTACTGTACTAAAAAAGGAAATATGCACAGTCAAGCAGGAACCCGGAGTTTTCCCTCTTTCAGGAATAATGATTTTTTTTTTTTTAGAAATCGATAAAAGTGATAGTCTTAAGCTTTTCTGTGATATAATTTAGGCAATACGTAATTTTTTTGTGTGTGTGCTAAGCCCGTCCCGTGGACATTCACTGCCATTGATGATTAAAGTCATCATTGGCATGTTTTTACTGTTTGGGCGTTGGAACGAGCCTCTGCACCGCGAGAAAAAACATCTCCGCTCTAAAGCCGATCTTCATCCGTATACGTCACAAGTCACGTGATCAGGGAGCAGAAAATCCATGTGTTAGATCGTTTTGGGCCACTGCTGTAAAAAAAAGTGAGGAGCGAATTGTAAAAGCTTCTACCGATCACAATTCAGCAATGGATTATGAAAGAACGGATAAAGCTCGAAACACACGGATTCTTCCTGATGTAAGAGGTGAGTCTCCGCTTTGTTTTGGTTGTTATAGCATCGACATCATCCTAGCGCGCAACGTTCTGTGACTCTTACAAAAACAGTAAAAACGGCGAGAAACACTGGCAGCGAAGGGCGTTAACGATCAGGAAACGGCTGGCAGCGAATGAGTTAATATGTAGATGCACCAGTGGGCGGGCGCTGGAGAGTATTAGGGATGTCCCGATACAACTTTTCACTTCCGATACGATATTGCAGCCTTCAGTATTGACTGATACTGATATCAGCACAAATACTTTCATACTGTTTCTTAGTGTGGAACGTATGAAAAGCTTGATCAAGTGACATTACTCAATCGGAGAACAAGAGCCAATAACAGTAAGTATGGGGAAAAAATGACATTTGTTTTTAACCATTGGTTGCAAAAATGTGAAATATAATGGACTGTTTATCGGAGATTTTAGATGCAGCCCAATATAATCCGATAGTGTTTTGGGGCAATTAGATATGGATATCAGAACGGGACATCCCTAGGGATGTCAGTGTCACCGACAGGTTGTCCAGTAATTAAAAAGTTGTAGGTTCGATCCCAGCTCCCGTCAGAGAGTGCTGCAGTTCTGTTCTTGGGCAAGACACTTTAACTCGCCATGCCTGCTGCTGGTGGTGGTCGGAGGGAGCGGTAGTGCCTGTGTTCGGCAGTCTTGCAAGGCAGCTGTAGCTCATCGTTTCCGTTGTGTGAATGGGTGAATGACTGTTGTGGGGGGGTTGTAGAACCCTAAGAAGGAGCTATACAAATACAAGCTATTCACCATTTTTACCATTTAGATGGTGTCCTCTGGGGAAAAGCAAAATGCTGGATTTCTGCTTTAGCATCCTTTCAAGCATCCATGTGGCTGTCTGTCTTTATTATTAAACTAAGATGATTTATGTAATGTTGGGAAGTATTTTACAGTGGTATGAAAAACTATTTGCCCGCTTCCTGATTTATTATTCTTTTGCATGTTTGTCACACAAAATGTTTCTGATCATCAAACACATTTAACCATTAGTCAAAGATAACACAAGTAAACACAACTTGCAGTTTTGAAATGATGGTTTTTATTATTTAGGGAGAGAACAAAATCCAAACCTGCATTGCCCTGTGTGAAAAAGTAATTGCCCCCTGAACCTAATAACTGGTTGGGCCTCCCTTAGCAGCAATAACTGCAATCAAGCATTTGAGATAACTTGCTACGAGTCTTTTACAGCGCTCTGGAGGAATTCTGGCCCACTCATCTTGGCAGAATTGTTGTAATTAAGCTTTATTTGAGGGTTTTCTAGCATGAATCACATTTTAAGGTCATACCAAAGCATCTCAATAGGATTCAGGTCAAGACTTTGACTAGGCCACTCCAAAGTCTTCATTTTGTTATTCAGAGGTGGATTTGCTGGTGTGTTTTGGGTCATTGTCCTGCTGCAGCACCCAAGATCGCTTCAGCTTTAGTTGACGAACAGATGGCCGGACATTCTCCTTCAGGATGTTTTGGTAGACAGTAGAACTCATGGTTCCATTTATCACAGCAAGCCTTCCAGTTCCTGAAGCAGCAAACCAACCCCAGACCATCACACTACCACCACCACCATATTTTACTGTTGGTATGATGATCTTTGTCTGAAATGTTGTGTTACTTCTACGCCAGATGTAACGGGACATTTGCCTTCCAAACAGTTCAACTTTTGTCTCATCAGTCCACAAAGTATTTTCCCAAAAATCTTGGCAATCATTGAGACGTTTCTTAGAAAAATTGAGACGAGCCCTAATGTTCTTTTTGCTTAACAGTGGTTTGCGTCTTGGAAATCTGCCATGCAGGCTGTTTTTGCCCAGTCTCTTTCTTATGGTGGAGTCGTGAACACTGACCTTAATTGAGGCAAGTGAGGCCTGCAGTTCTTTAGAAGTTGTCCTGGGGACTTTTGTGACCTCTCGGATGAGTTGTCTCTGCGCTCTTGGGGTAATTTTGGTCGGCCGCCCACTCCTGGGAAGGTTCACCACTGTTCCATTTGTGGATAATTGCTCTCACTGTGGTTTGTTGGAGTCCCAAAGCTTTAGAAATGGCTTTATAACCTTTACCAGACTGAATGATCTCGATTACTTTTGTTCTCATTTGTTCTTGAATTTCTTTGGATCTTGATGTCTAGCTTTTGAGGTGCTTTTGGTCTACTTCTCTGTGTCAGGCAGCTCATATTTAAGTGATTTCTTGATTGAAACAGGTGTGGCAGTAATCAGGCTTGGGGGTGGCTACAGAAATTGAACTCAGGTGTGAAACACCCCAGTTGGGTTATTTTTTAACAAGGGGGGCAATTACTTTTTCATACAGGGCAATGTAGGTTTGGATTTTGTTCTCTCCCTAAATAATAAAAACCATCATTTCAAAACTGCATTTTGTGTTTACTTGTGTTACCTTTGACTAACGGTTAAATGTGTTTGATGATCAGAAACATTTTGTGTGACAAACATGCAAAAGAATAAGAAATCAGGAAGGGGGGTAAATAGTTTTTCACACCACTATATTTTGATAACTGTTTTATTTCAATTGCAAAATGAATTTCTTTGTTTTATATCTTTTTCAGATCAACTCGGTGTGTTAGAACGGTTTTGGCTTTTCATACCGATATCTTTAATTGAATAGATTGCTAGTAGGTTTTTGAAGATGCACCACTACTGTCATACTTGGGCATAGACATTTTTTTGTGTTATTCTGATGCTGGAACAGTCATAACTTTGTAGCTTTAATGTTAGGATTTACACCTCAGACTGTATTCTCTTAGCTAAAAATGGACAAATCACCGATTCTTAGTGTGGCAACTTCAAGCTTGTGAGGAACATTTGTTGGTG